TTCATCAAACCCCATTAGCGAGGATGACTTCCGGTCCTAATCCCGGCCAGACGTTATTGTTCGCGAATGTTTCTCGCGACGAAATACAAAGCGTTGCGACGAGCATTCGCGGCGGTCGTAATTTTAGAAATTTTAATTGCGTAACGGCTAGGCCGACATATCAGCGTGACAGTTGTCAAATTGCAGTGAATCGGTGGTCCCCGAGTAATTTTGCTCAAAGTAACGTAGAACCTCCGTTGATCCGATTCGAAGAACGGGGACGCGACGTCTAGACGGGAGAACATTTGACGCGTTTCTCCATTTTTTTTTTTAATTAAATTGCGAGAGCTACAGAATTTTTACGAGTTCCTACGAGATTCTGATTTTACGGCCGACTTTCATGGAAGTATTCGAAACGTATCGATCGCGGAAAAGTATCGAATTGGGTCAACGAGTGCTCGACGTATATACACCGAATACTCGCGACATCGATGTAAAATCGGTAAACAAGATTATATGGAACAGTGTTTCTCAAACTGGAGTAATTTTCAACAAAAGTACAGTAAAAGGAAAGGCTTATAATATTTAAATTTGATATGGATTAAAATAAAATAATTGAATTCTATTTGGGGTTCGTAAAAAATGTTTCTTCGTGAACGGGGATACGCGATGTAAGGTTTGTGGAACACTGAGAACGTCATGGATACTGCCGGAGCATGTCTGAAACTTTGAAGAACTATGTTGGTACAAGTTACTCGAAAAGCTCCTTCGAACGCGTGTAATCGTCGATTATATAATATTGTAAGTACTGCTAAATCAAGTCTGAAACTTTGAAGGAGGCGTAACGGCGAGAATATTGTTTAAAAATGTCGAATATCGTCGATTAATTTTCTATCTTCTCCATGAATGTTACTTAAGACTCGAAATGCTTTTCCTAATATGGTTGCAACAATAAATCGGTCGAGGGGATAATGGGAAAGATGAACTTTTATTTTCGGATCCCTCTTTGTCCCTGGCTCCTTTACGCGACAGAATACTTGGTCATCCAGGTTCGGGAGTCCTTCGACGTCGATCTCATCGCGTCATCGTTATGGATTACCCGCATGATTCTTTGTCGCGCCCATTAATCTTCGTAATTAAACGAGCGTTTACATGCGACACGACAATATCTCATGCGTAAATCATCGTTGACTAAGGTGAAAGTTATTAAGTGTTTACGATAAAAGCTTGCGACTGGGATCGAAATTAACGATTCGCAGTAAAATACTTCTTATTATTATAAATGCAACGAGAGGTATAAAATTAGCGATAGGTATAAAGGAAGGTTATACAATAAATGATATGTAGTATCCCTGTTTCTGTAAGTCGAGACTACTGATCTACGCGTAACAAAGTTACGTTGCTCGCCACATATTGTATTTAATAGAGGAGATAATTTAACAAACAAAGATGTCCCGACCCTTGATTCACTCAGGCTACTGCCCCTGGATCGTTTCCAAAATTCGCAAAGTGTCATTCGACCGAACAACTTCGAAATTACCACGAAACGGTGCAGCGTGGCGTTCATCCGAGCTGCCAGCTCATCGCCCTTGGAGGCGATGACAAAGCCCGAAGGAAAACGAGAGAAAAAGAAACTCTCGGGGGATTCTCGATTCTTTGTTTCTAACTTGCGATGTCTCGAGCCAAAGTTTGCCAGAATTTTATCCAGCTGTTACTCGAACGAGCTATTATTCGTTCCATGTTACAGAGAAATTAGAAACACTCGGATTATGAATCCGAATACATGTAGCGTAAGTTTTCAATTCTTCATCCTGTTGCCAAATCTTAGTCATTGTTTACGTAAGATTTGTTTTCTTTGTAATGATTTCGTCTATTTTGCCTTGGTAATTCCCAGACACTCTTAATACGAGTCTGGGCAAGGTAATTGAAATTTCAACGAGAATTATCAATTATAAAACTTACCAGGAAAATCATACCCCGAGTTTCAAACGTATTCGTTCAACGAGAGAGATAATTTGATTGCAATTTTCACCGAACAAATAACGAATCAAAAGTTGTTTCCGGACGAACACTTTGCTCGTCTCTGGCTGAAACTCTCCAGCTAGGGGCGTTTCAGGTCGCAAAAGTCTAAAACTTCGTTCGGTGCTCTGTCTGGGTCCGTTTGGCTTCGTCTAGTTTCTAAGGCTATAGTTGTTGGTACGTAGCTTATTCTATATCGAAGTTGTTGCGAGATGTAGCGGTGAATCGGGTTGATGCTCCTTGTCCCCGTCTTGAAATAACCGGACACGCCCTCGTTGCGACGTTTTCGTCGGTCTCTTGCTCATTAGCGCTCTAAATGAATCGCTCTGGCTCGGCCGAGGAAAGTTAATGGTCCGTTTAATAACGATACCGTACGCTCGAATTGCGAGCCTTCGATGCCGGGGACTTGGAACGGACAATCGTGATTTTTCGTATCCGTCGGTGCTTCGATTAATCGCCAAGAGATAATAAAGAGGGACTCGAGGGAAATTGTGGCTCGAGAAGGGCCGCGATTAAAATAGAAAACTGGGTCGACCCTGAAGCTCAACGAGTCGTCCCGTTGCGTGTGCCGGCGTATTCCCAATATCAGTCGCCGAACCATACTTTCCATCAAACCTGGGAAACGTTAAAAATTTCCTACAATTTCCAAACCAACGATTTATAACCAATTCCCCTTTGGTTCGAGACTATTCTCCATTTACTCCGGGAAAGTAGTTTATCGACCGTTAGAAGACCGTCCTGAAAATTCGCTGCTAAGATTTTCAGAATAAAAAGACTACCTGCATCGTGTTTACTCCTTTTTGAATTTACCCGGCGGACAATGGCCACGAGCCTGGCGTCGAAACCTGTTACGAGAGCACAATGGCGAAGTAAATTTTCTTTCGACAATATAAAACAATAACTATTCTCCTTCGGACCTCGCTGCGAACTTTTTTACAGTCCATCGACGACGATGCTCTCCCTCCGTTGAATTACAGAATTTTCATGTTCCACGCGTGCTTTCAGCGATTAAAATTAAAATACCTTCAAAATATTTAAAAAAAATTAGCGTTATTCTCTTCCCTCTGTAATATTTCATCATCAGGATGGCCGAACACTCTGTATATAGTTCCTTCTTTTTTTATCGGTCGGCCAAAATAAACATTGGTAACGTTTACGCGATGAAATTTACTAATCTCGCGTGATGTTTCGAAGCGGAGACATTCCGCCGAGTCGGTCGTGTTCCGCGATTTCGAGGAGGTCGATAACCCACGTCGCGGACGGAAAAAGCTCTCGCAAGATCCGAGTCCGCGGTTCTCTCGGAAGGAGCGGAGGATTCGCGACGGAACGTGACAGAATCCAGACTCCGCGCGCGAACGAACGACAATGATCTTGACCTCGTACGAATAAACACGTCGTCGTAGACCGAGGTCGCCTCCGCGTTTCCGCGTAAGCGCGCGCACGCGTTCGGTTACGCGGCTGCATTAATAAACATGAAAGCGACAGCTCCGCTAACAATTGGCTCGAATCGCGTTTGCGGTTTTATCGCTCGACGAGCATCGCGTTACGATCGTCCGAATTTACAGCGACTTTATCGACCGTCACTAATGCGCACACCGCCGCTAGTTTTTTAACCCTTTTTCTCCGCTAAAAACGACTACTATCTTATTCGGAAACAAATTCTCTGCAACGAAATTTAGAATTTTAATTATAGAATTTCTGAACGTTCGTTCGTTATCTACCATTCGAATAAATCGTCCATTTAGGTCATAATCGTCGTGTTTACCCAACCGATAATAACGTCCAAACAGCTATCTTCTAAAAGCGTTGTTTTTTTCTGTCTCAAAGTCTGTTTTATTCAACAGACCTTAAGGGTCTAAGGTCACTTTCCCCATGAGCTCTGATGTACGTATGTAAGGAATGGAACAGTTTAGTCTTGAACTTCCTTGTTCGTCGAGGTGCTACGAGTCATGTTCCCATAAATTTAAAACAAAATATCTATGTTCTGTTTTTGGTAATTCTTTGATCAAATTATTTCTATACCAAATTCTAACGTATTTAATCTGCAAAACTTGGTCGAAATCGAGATTTTTCGAAGATCGAGGTATTATTGTCAAGTGGATCGATCCTTTTAAATTAGCACGATCGCCCGTTGATTTAATATTTACAAACACACTATAGATTCGTCCGAGGACGGTTGACCCAGTGCGTGTTCTACTTTCGTTCCGAATTGGCGGCAGTTCTCGGAGCACCGCGACGCGTAATTAGACGTCGCGTTCTGTGTATCGTTCCGAAATATATAATTAATATCGCGTCGGTGTTCGATATTAAATCCCGAAGCTATATTTACACGCTCGGAAAAAGTGTCGGGCGAGATACTTGGACGGACCACGTGCTGAGAATCCCAGCGATTTCATTTAGAAAAGTTAATAGACTTCCTGATTACGTATCGTGCTTCGTCCGAGTATAAAAGAACTTTTTATTACCCATAACGAGCTTGCTAATTGTAAGTACATATCTCCAACGAACAAACTTTATTACATAAAGTTGGAACTTTATTCTATTTCCTGGCTAATTTCCTACCAATACTTTAAACGTTAAATTTTTGACACGTTTTTGTGGTGGTTCAACCGAGGATCGAATCGTTATGTAAATATACGTAGATAAGTAGCTTTGTGCGTGTCACATAACCTATGCGATAAGCTGAATGCGTGGCAGAGTGAATTTGATCTGCAAAGTCTGTAATAATAAATAACTCGAGGTTCTCTTTAGGCGGCCTATTGTCATCAGAGATTTTCCTCTATATGGGCAGACGGCTTGATAGGGTTATAGAGGGTTAACGACAAATCGTTTTCCGATCTGGCCTCGATAGGAAGGCGGTCGTGAATCAGCGCGCTCCATCGGCCATAGGATTCCTCGCGAAACGGAAACACGGAGAGCGCGCGGTGCTCGTTAGCGCGCGAATAATTTCCACGCAGTGCGCACAAAGGACGCCCTGTTACGCAATCTAGCAGCGACATTGGTGACAATCATCGAATTACCTGCGAGGCTCGATCGACTATAGTTTCGCGCGATTCCCCACCGCGAGACGAATTCTTTGCTGGTTAGTCGTCCCTCGATCGTCGAACGAAATCGAGATCGTCCAGAGCTGCGATCGCAGCGAGTCGAAGTCATTTAAATCGGTGGTTGTCGAAGAATTCAAACTTTCGGAGCAGGAACGTCCGATCTATAGAACCGAAACTGGCCAGTTCGTCGACCAGTGAGATCATTGTCGCTTCCAGTCCGACTGGTGGATCGGTATTCCGGTCCGCGCGACAGCGGCTTAAGGCGCGAAAATAGAGTCTGTGGAGCCGTCGGTGCAGCCAGAACCCCGCTACGCATTTAGTCTTTAACTGGAAGCATCCGCGAGCGGAACGAGACGCAGTAGCGGCTGCCTCGAAGTTTTCCGCGATCTAACTGCGCTCAACCACCGGGTGTCCCTTCGGAACTGGTGGCTCGGTCGTCGCGGTACGACGATGCGAGCGTTCCTGGAAGGGTGCAACAAGTGCGAGGCGCGATCTTAAGATGGTACAAGCGACCTGGGTGTTAGGTCTGGTGAACCGTCTCGAAATAGATCGTGTCGTTGAAGGTGCACGATGAAAGTATTTCGAACTCGACTCCTCGATCGAGGATCGTTTGGTTAGATCGGTCCTTTCGCGACTCTGTAAGCGTTCTTTTAGATGATCCGTGATTGGTTGGGGTCTGCTTTCTAAGCGACTGCTTCGATGTTGCAGTTGGATGCGTCGGATCGGGCCGACCTGCATCGAAAATCGTGAAGGACGGGGCTCGATAGGGCGATAGATCGTGTCGCTAGACCAACCAGACAAGGGAGAGAGAAGCTCCGGGAATATGGAAACCGAAGGGATCGAGCATCGGCCGGGCAGTTCCGTCGAAAAACAGTTTGTCTGGATGCTCTGTAAAGCGGGAGTACCTGGAATATTGGTCGAAAGTTTCGAAGCTTTCGGGCGGTTTTGCGCGAACCTGATTCCAAAGAGAATAAGCCTGGGTTTCTTGCGAGTCCTGGCCGCGCTGCTGGTGATCGTTGTACCCCGATCGATCACTTACCTTTTGCTGTATCCGATTTTCAGATTAGTGTTCGGCAATTTGTATCCGGCCTACGCTTCGTACAAGGCGGTGCGGACCAAGAATGTCAAAGAATACGTGAGTATTTGACGTCCGCGCGCTTGGAACCTCTACTCTTGACCGATTCCATTAGAAGCGATTACGTTTCATGATCTTAATTAATGGAATTGGCTGGGGCGTCGCGCTGGACCTATCGATAACACCTTAAACATTGTTTCGCGATGCTCTCGCGCTCTGCTTTCTCGTTAAACTCGTTAAAAGAAATAACAATTTCGACAAAACTTGCATAACGACTCGAAGAAGAGTTCGAAGAACGGTATTTATGGCGACGAGAGGTCTATTCGACTCGATCCAAGCGTCCTGGATCCCCTTCCAGGCCATTATTTCCCTTATTGGTAACACTCCGCGCCGCGTTGCTAGTCATGATAAGCGTTCTTTCGTTTCCAGGTCAAATGGATGATGTACTGGATCGTGTTTGCACTGTTCACGTGCGCGGAAACCTTCACCGACTTCTTCTTTAGCTTCTGGTGAGACAATCGTAGCCTGTATGCCTTTTGTTAGTCGCGTTCGGTCTTACGGATAAAATTCAACGCCGTCCAGTTATTCGATATTTAAGCAATCGAGTCTAAGGTACCAGAGTCGTGACGTAACGAATACCAGTGGCCAAGGAATGCCGCGTATCGGCCGACTACCGGGTTAGAGTCGAACAAAGAAGATGAAAGACGATCGGTCCGTAGCTCGAGAGCAAAGTGTCCCTTCGCGAGCCATTTACGAAGTCGCTGGAAAGAAAAAGGGTGCGAGGGGTCAAAGCTCGCGAATGTTTGTCAGCTCGGTCACGGCCCCATTTTCGCCGGAAGCGGTGAAAATTCGTGCGACCCGAGGCCAATAAACCGACGTGAACCGCGTGGTCCGTGGCTCGCCACCGGGAATTCCGAAAGTCTAATTTCGGCCGAGATGGATATTGGCTTACATGCACTTCTGAGGGTTCCACCAGCCGTGTCTCGTCTTCCGTCTCTGTTTCTGGTGTTCCCTCCCTGCTGTGCCAGATCCATCCTCTCCCTTCATACTCGGATTACAACCAAAAAGGAGAGCCCCGTGTATTTCTGGCCCGAAATACCCTCGCACTTTCCTCCTCCCGTTTTCCTTTCGCACACTCTCTCCCTAACGCGCGCCGATTTTTCCCTTTTTCTCTGCTCGCCGCTGCGGGCTTCGTGGTTCACGGGTGCGTCACACTTCGACCGAGAACTGTGTTCCCGGTTTTTTCCCCTCCGCCCTGATAGGTTTCTTTCGATACCGGTGGCGCGATCCGTTTCAATGGAGATCGCTCGACCCATTTTTTCTGCGACTTCGTGGGATTTCGGAACAATAACTCATCGTAATTTTTATAAATTTTACGTATAACCCCTGCTGTAACGTAAACACAGTTCGAGCGAGCGTTGTACCGAGGGGAGATCAAATTTCACCGTATTTTTTAAAATGTCAAACGACCGCCCTTTTTCCCGCTTGTCGACGCAATCGATCGATCCAAGTTGCTCTTAACGCGACTGGTTTTTACTCTTTCCGGTCCAGGTTCCCCTTTTACTATGAAATTAAAACTATTCTGGTGGTGTGGCTGTTGAGCCCAGCCACCAAGGGCTCGAGCATCCTTTATCGTCGCTTCGTCCATCCGGCTTTGATCCGCCGTGAGGCCGAAATCGACGAAGCTCTCGCACGCGCGACGGAGCAGGGTTACACGGCTGTCTTGCACCTTGGCTCGAAGGGTGTCAACTATGCCACCACGGTCCTCATGCAGACCGCCATAAAGGTAAGTTCGGACATTCGGCCGTAAAAGTCTAGTTAGCAACGCTGTAACGATGAAACCGGTCGTCCGCGGCACGAATCGTGGCATAAAATACACCGAACCTCCATAAAACACAATTTCATTATTTCGTTTCTTAGAGAAACGTTTGGTAATCTTCAGCCCCGTATATCCACCGTGTTATACGGGGGTTGATTGCATCTTGTTCGTATTGCTCGATCGACCATTTTGGTTCCCTCCATAAAATGCCATTATTCTTTTGCCGCGCAAGACGACCGGGTGACCATTAAATACGTTTCACTCAGAATCCTAACTCGCCCACAGCTTGAACAAGCCCCCCGGCTAATCGTTGGATGATTTTTTCTTGATTTTATGTTTTCGTTGTCCTGCACGCCTATCCTGCACGCCGTCATGGCCTCTAATCAAAAACTACCACCAACGTCGATCACCGTGTCATCACACATCATCTAACCACTGGCAATCATCGCCGTCCCTTTAACAAATTACAATCGAAATCAATAAAAAAAAAAAAAAAAAAAACAAACAAACCATGTCGTTGTACACGTACATGTGTGTGTGTGTCACCATGTGTCCGTCTTTAACACCAAACACGCGGCGACGGTGTTACACGTTCGTGTGCCAATAAACACATTCCGTTGTCAGCATTTGCTGAAATCAGATTCGGTCGTGTTGCGTGAACTCTCTGCCAGCCAATCGGACTCGGCGATTTCTAGCTTAGCCAAGCCAGCAACGACGAGTCTTCTGACGGAGAGGGAGAGGGCAAACGACGCCGGGACGATCAGACGAGCACTGTCATGCTCGAGCGTTAACTCCGAGGAGTTGGTCGCGATGGAAGCGGTGCCCAGCGTCTCCGAGGACAGGGACGACATGGACAGCGAGCTTCTCGCGTTCGAGGACGCCCAATCGGAGATTTTCAAGACACCGCAACCCAAGAGGACCGTGAAACCCCGAAGGGCCAAAAAGGGAAAGATCGCGAAACAGCCGAAATCCAATCCTCGCGAGGACTTGGACTATTTGAAATTCAGCGACGACGACTACGAGCCAAAGACCTCCAATTACATCTAACCGGTCGAAACGGAGAGTCCAAGTTACCGATATTAGGGTTACCATAGAGTTAAACTTTTTTTTACCATTTTTACTGGCGAGCTATCGAACCAGGTGTGCGCGTGCGAGTTTACCGAACATCATTAGTGTGCGTGTTTCCGTGTGCTCGTGATAATCTTAACCGTTAGAGCGTCGTCGGCGAGGCGGAAACTATAAAACGGTTTGAAAATATATTTTAGGTCTAAAAATTAATTATCCGGCCGTTGTGTGAAATTTATTCGAATTGAACTTGTTTCTCCGCCGCGTTGCTGTCGTCGAGTAGGGCTTAAAATTGCCATAATAGAGCCGCAAACTAGTTTATAGACCCGATGATAAAACAAAGTTTGAACCGCGTGAATATTACCTATTCACGGTGAACCAAACGTTTGAGACGTGCCATCGAGCACGGTACATTTTATTCGCGAAACCTTCGAGTAGCGTTTTAGGCGAGCCTTTTGATGCCAATACTGTGTGTCTTTCTGCAGAGTCTGCAATTTCTGTACTTTAACGTACCGAGTAGAATTATTCGACGAATTTCTTATCATAGTGATTCGCAAAATCAATCCCTTCGAGCTACCTCGATGTACGCTTCACAGGAATAGTCATTTTTATAGGTGGTGGGATCTCGCTTGGAACGAGACCAAATAACGTACAACATCTTGACGTGAATTTTACTTTGTCGTACGTAAACTTTTGACGCGCGAGGATAATTTTATTTTCGAACTCGTTGAATTCTTTTCTGCACAAAGATATACGTTTGCAAGTTACCAAGCGATGAAATATAATGTTAATCCAATTTACTGTGTAAGTTTATTTGTACGTATTATCATATTGTTAAATTTGTATCGTGTTCTGGCGATTATCGATTCGTCGTCTTTCCTAGCGTTTAATCCTCCAACTACGTAAACAGTGAATAAACGATCGTCCATTGTTTTGAAACGAGTGGTTCGTCCTGTCGTAGCTAGGGGGTTAAAAAAGCCGCTGAAACCGAGTCTACGTAACCATAGATTTGAAAAATCTACGCTAGTTGAACCGTGGGTGCAACTAGAGCTGGAAGAAAGAGTTCAAGACTGTCATGTGATCGAGGTAACAAGAGAAGCACATTTTCGCTTCGGAATCATTACTGTAAATCTCTCGTTGTTCCTTACGAACATTTCATTGCGCTTAAATGTTTCCAATCTTGACAAGAATTGAATTGTACAAATGTTTAGATTAATATATCAAATAAAGTAAAATTTGAAAGGAACATCTACGCGAGAAATATTAGGAAAATATGTATATGCTGGCTTTTTGGATGCAAAAAGCTACGCATATCTACGTTCGATGTCATGATTGTTCCAAGGTAATCCAAACTCTGGATTATACTTTTGCTTCCAATATGACTTACGAATTTTTCCGAACAAAAGGTAATCAAGTTCGATGAATTGTTCGTAAGAAACAACGATCGACGCAGAGTTGTTAAATGACGAACAAGTCTTTGGATTCGATTACGAGTGTAATTTTAAACATTTTGATACTTTATAAAGGACTCAGAATCTCACTGTACGCGATACCCCAACTACGAGTTTCTTCGAAAGATTTTTGTGTCGTCGATTGTTCCCTACGAGTCTACAGAAATTGTACCGATGAGCTCATTTAATCAAGGAACGCTTAGAGAGTAAGACTTTTTATACCCGATCCCAAAGATTTTGCGCAACAATGATATGGTATTGTTTCTTTTTTTCTCTCTTTTTTTTCGAATAAACGCATTCTACCGACAAGGATGTACGTTGCTCCCCCTTTACTTCGTTGACTATCCTACTGCTCATAAGTATTCGGACGTCCATTTTAACTAGCAATTAATTCAAGTCGATAGGCGTAGGAAATTCAATTTGGCACGAAACCAGAGTTCGACTATCTACATCCATTGATTTCTTTTCCGATTATAAAAACGTTTCTTAATAGTATTTTTCACCGGTTTACATCAAGAATTTATTCGAATTATAAAAGTCGGCGCCCGGGACAGGATGCGTTGAAACAAATTGCATCGCGGAAGAAAGAGTTTAACTTTGAATATTCCGAGTCTTGTAAACACGGACGCGGAGGTCTTCGGAAGGTAAGTGAGCTCTAACCGCGAAGAATACGCGTCGGTGGACTCTGGCTCGTTAAAAGAGCACGTTGTTTGGGCCTGGAAAGTAAAGTTTGAGCGCATAAATGATACTTATGAGCGGCAGGATAGACTCACGAGCACTGAAACGTTCGCGTTTCGCGATCATCCTTGCGGATTGGTTGTTCCTCCGGTTGGTAGCGAGCGAATCCCGTCTAACTAGTTGGTCCAGTTAATCAAGAGAGCCCGGCTTCTTCTATCGCTGGAACATGCGAACACGCTTGCCGTTAACCCGTGCCAGAAAGAAACGCATCCCGGATAGACAAGGGACCGCCTAGATCGAACGCTAGAGACGCGCCACACGGTTTCGTAGTCTCTGATCACGGCAGATAACACATTAACACCTTATTTTCCGGGTTGGTATGACTTTCAGTTATTTTTTCTTTTCCGGTACACCCCCCCTTTCTCGCTCTCTCTCTGTGCTGCTGAGCTGCGATTTTAATTTTGTTTGCACCCGTATAAATGCCTGGTAGACAAAGCGACACTGCGGATTTATCGGAGCACGCTGTAAAAAACGGACAATGTTGGTCTTTTCAGGGTGGCGGCGGACTGGTGCAGCATTTGAAGAAGAGCTACAGCCTGAGCGACCTGACCGGCGAGAAGGAGGACGAGAATAGAAACACGTCGCACATGCACGACGAGACGGACATGGAAGGTTGCTCGACGATCTTAGCGCCGCTAATTCCTGCTAATTCTCGCTCGAGCATATCCTTTAGTCCGTTCCTTTGCTCCATCTGGCCGATCGTTTAATGATTTCGCGGAAATCCTGAAACGAACATAGTTCGAACCTTGGTCCCTTTTGGTGCTGGGCGTCGTGCGTGGAATTGCCAGACGTTTCTACTCCCCTTCTTATTCTAATTGTCCCAACTATGCTTCTATGCCTGAGAAAAAATTCAGTTTTGCAACTCGGAACGTGTTGAGATTTATCTTGGTATTGCTCGAAACAAAAACTTTGTAGGAAATTTTCTTTGGTATGCGTAATCGATCTAGAAATTGAGTCAAGGCGATACGTCGAATAAATCAGCAAAAATAAAACATCCCTTCCGCACACGGTGCACCGTTGCACCCCAAGGGTCGAAGAAAATCGATCGCCGAGTCTGAAAGTTTCTAGGACTGGTCCTTGTTCTTTGATCGGTCGATCCTTGAGTTTAAACGTAGCTAAGTCAGGGCTAGAGCTTTGTTTCCTTGAAGCTAGTAGATCGATAAACGATGCAGGCTTTGCTGCCGCGTAAAGTTGACGGAAATGAAAGCTTGGTATCGTTTGCAGTGGAACCTCGTCGAAGGGAGCACGTGGGACGAAGAGGCTATAGTCCTCGCCGGACACAGTCGAGTAGCAATCGTGTGGAGATGTACTTCTCCGAGGTGGACGTCGATGTTAGACAACCCAGGCCTAGGGAACCGACAGCTAGCTTAATGTGTGTATCGTAAAAATAGGCTGCACGCAAACAATGAAATTTGTTTGTGACGATGATAAATTTTATATTTCAGTAATATTAGATCTTCGGACGATATATCCAGCGGATACAGCAGCGGAGAAGCGTTGCAATCTACTCGTTCGTCTCAGGGTGATTCGTTAGTTAGAACATCGAGCGTCGGCGCAAGAACACGTGCAAAACCCCGCTCCACCGCGAAGAAAACGCCAGAGGTACTAAATCCGACCGTCCAAACCCCTAAGACACCATAAATCAAGGTTTAATCGCGCGAGAGTTCGAGCCCCAATTTCATTCGTCGGCGGGAAGCTAATCCTAATCGGAACGAGCACCCTCGTCGTATTCAAAGTTTTCGCGCTGAAATTGAGCATCGATCGATCGTCACCTTTACCACAGACGAGGTATAGATCCTAGACTATGCATCCAGGTGTCACAGAAACAGAAATACCGAACCGATCGATCGTTTCGTTCAAAGAACTGTGATCCTAGGAACTATAGCTCGATCCGTGCGGCAGAAAGAAGCATCGCGAGCAACGTCTGTTCTATACCTTCTCTGTGGCTTTACGTAATCGTCCAGCGAATTATCGTCGTCGTTAAAATCGATTTTTGTGGTATTTGAAGGACGCAGGAGGAGAGGATTCCGACAGCAACGATCTCCCTTCCCCCAAAAACATCTCACTTCCGACACCTCTAAGTCTCGTCACCCCCGAACAAGCTCTCGAGATCTTGCTTCTGCTATCGAAAAACAGTAATGTTGCAGATTATATAAAATTCGATCGTGGATCCTTTGTCGCAGGTAACGATGATTTAGTCGAAAACACCAGTCAATCAGGCCCCGAACCGCTGAAACTCGAGTCAGAATCGAGATCGGACTCTGCTCTGACCGCAGAGGTTCAGATCATTCAGAGTATAGAGACGAAAACTGTCCCTGAACAATCCGCGAGCGTCCAAGAGACAAAAACCGAGGGAAGTTCGGAGACTTCACCTTCCATCATTGACCAAGTTCCTTCGATAGTTTCCGAAAAATCTGTCAAAGACGTGGACCGCTCGGTGACCGACGAACTATGCCAGAACAAGTTCGACGAACTGAAGCAGCTTCTCAGCGAAGCCCACAAGGCTGTTAATAACATCGTCCATACTCAAGAGCAACCGAAACTCACCGACACCGATGACTCCGAGACGTCCCAGAAACCCCCGCAAGATGAAAATATTAAAGAAATATACGACGAAACCTTAAAGAAAGTGCCTTCGAAAGTCGACGAAGAATCGAAAACTGTGGCGTCCAATGATCCGATAAAAATAATTACGGAAAATGACAATGCCTCGACCTTGGATTTATGGGCGACTCCGAACGTATCGAGGAGCAATTCCGATAGCATAAATCGCTCGGGAAAGTATCACAAGAAGCCAGCGCCGAAAATACCTCTCACGAGAAGCGAGGAAGATTTGGCGACCGACACCGATTCCCAGAACGCGGTGAAAGCCACGCTGGTGATTAAAACCGGGACTCTGAAGACGTTCTCGAACGCCGGTGCTCCGAAGGACGTCTTCATCGCCCACGTCGCGGACAAATCCAAAGGAAAGAAGTCCAAGAGACAGAGGACCAAGGAAGGGTTCTCGAAATTGTTGACGATTCCCAAAAATATTTTCCACGGCGCCTTCTCCAGGGACCAGAAAGGTTCCTCCAAAGCTGACGACTCCAGTCCGGACGTTAGCGCTTCTCAGTCGAGATCGAACAGCATCGAGCCGCAGGAAACGATCATAGAACTTGCTCCAAAATCGTCCAACTCGAGTCAAGAAACAAACGACAAGAGCGACGATACTTCAAACAGCTCGGATATTTACAACGACGCTGAAAATGCGAACAAAGTCGAGGAAGAGAAGAACGATGGAACGCAAATAAGAGAAATGTCTCAGTCGCCGAAAGTTGGGAGAAAATTGGAGTCGGACATTTACTAATTTTACCAGAAACGTAACATAGGAAGGCGAGAGTTAGACGGGTCTAATTGACTGGTTTTCAGAGGCGAATTAAACAACCCTTGTGTCATCCATCCTTTCCCATCCCCCTCACTGTTTAAATACTCTACCATATTGGAAATCTGGAGAGAAGAATCGGATTAACTCGTTCAGATCGTATGGAAATGGTTTCTAGAGTGTTTTCTGATTCCAGTAACTCCTTAGTCACTAATAATTTAGCGAGCGTTGCATTTTACTGTGCTTCTAAACGCGCATGTTGTTGGCAATTGCAATACAGCCGCGTAATCATTAACCCTTGCTTAAAAAAAAGAAGCGTATTAATCCAGAATGACTCCCCGTTAAACTTTGCCCGATTATAATCGATAATTATCGTGGCAACTTTGTCCCATGATCGTGTGGTGTGTTTGCTGACCGGTTATTAAGAACGAATCGGTTTCCAGCAAGGGTGGTTCCCCCGTTTTGTTTTAAGCGACACGTTGACCGCTTTGAAAAAAAATTTGAAGCAACGAAACGGTGATCGGTGCTCGATAATAACCCGATAACGCACGATCCGTTTCTGGTTCCAGATAACAAGCTTTGCCACCCTCCCCCGCAGCAAGAAGGTCAGTAAGAAGAAGGTGGCATGAAATTTAGGGACAGCTGCTGATCGCATCAAGGAATAAGTCTCCTACCGTTGTAACGACGGATACGATTAATTCAGCATCAGCAGTCGCCGAACTCACGAAACGCGTAATGCATAACGAAGTTGTGTCCTAGCACTAGCGTTACACGATTCGTTTGTACATAGCTCTCCCGCACGAAGCAAATTCTAACCGTTTACGTTGAGGCGCCCGAATAAGTTCGGGTAAGACCCGAAACGTCTTCGTTTCGTAATGCTCGACGAAGATCTTCTAAATAGAAAGTCCTCTCCAAGCTTCGTTGATTCGTTTGGATATGAATTGTAAAAATTTCTCCCATGTTAGAGACGTATATACACGCAAGAACACGTCGCGTGAAAATTACCCCTCGAGCGAGGAAAGGATAAGACTCGAGGTCCTTTGGTTCGAATCGATCAGTTTCCACGGAAATAGCAAAAGAAAACTGAAGCAATTGGTTCGATCGTGGCTGGTCGTGATAACACCGTTGCTCACGGTCACCCAATAGATTTTTTTAGACTCGTATTATGCCTTTGATTGCGTACCCCGAGCCTCGATGCATACCTTCGTTTCAGTCGAGAGGTTTTTTTTATACACGAAACATTGAACGGTAGCAGAGAATGATGCTTACCGCACTCGCGATCAATGTTTGCTTAAGATCGAGCGGATCGCATGGAATTTCATTTCCTAAGCTTTTATAAACTGTAGCTCTGATATTTTGTAAAACGATCGAATCGCTATAAGGGAGGAGAAACGTTCTTACGAAGACGCGAGGACGGTTGTATTAAAAAGACAGAAATGAATTCTAGTCAACAGAGCAAGATGTACTCAGGCATCTCTTGTATAGTGCCACTTGACTTTCTATCGTTTCTCTATGCGGCTATAGTTAGCCATTGTTTGGAGACACGCGGTGATCAATCCGCGAATGACTGTACGAATTGGGTCATCCTATTTCATGGATTTTTGAGGTCGATGTGTCGCGTGTGTTTGTAAAAACCGTAGGTAATTGTAGGGTCCCGTCGATGACCAACGATTCGTCTGCGATTCCAAGACGAGAACTGAAGTCACGCTTCCTCTGGTATCGGGTCTACGAATTAATTCTCAGCCCCTGCTTTATTCAAATTGAACTTTCTTTCTTACCGTATTGGTGCCCAACGTAACTTCAAAAAACAGTAGTTGATGCAAGACCGCCATCTTTCTTTAGAAACGAATCAGCCAGAGGCTCGACAGAAACATACAGATACCAATGGAGATTATTTTGATACATAAAATCTAATTTCACCGCTCATAGATAGACATTAAATTTATAAAAAGGTTGGAAAGTAATTTCTAGACCTAATACAAAAGAGTAAAAGAGCATGACTCGCAGTGGGTGGCCAAATTGTTAGTTAGGTTAAAAGTATATCTTAAAATTGATAAAGCAGGCATCCTCGATAGGGTCGAAGAGGCTTCGAACTTCGAACCCCATCGAGAATGCTTGGAAGCTTCTAAAATGCAAAGAAACAAAGAAACCTCATAGAACCGATAATACATTTCGAGTATGCCAAGAACGATTCTAGCTGTAATTCGCGCCAAATAGGGTTTTTTGTAAATACCAGCGTTCGTCTAAAAATATTTGCTTTCTATTTTATCCAATAATTTTGTTTTTCGTACACGACGCTTCCTCTTCGATCGCAAAACCTATTTTACCTAAGACTATAATCGTATATTTACTAGATTAATATATAAGGATCTAGCAATTTGGCCAGCGATTGTGCCCATAGCAGTTGGCCGCTTTCGTCTCAGGGGGGTTCGAAACTGAAATGAAACGAAGTCGTAAAGGATGTAGACTAGAAAGTCCCGTGTTTTGTACTCTAAATGATAGATTAATCTGCACTTCCCCCTAAAGTCTGAGTTTTCTTAGATCTCGAGAAAAGTACGCGTAGTTGAGTTATATTAATTTACGCCAGCGAGACGAACTAAAGAGTCTAGCGCTTCATGCAGAGAAATTGTCCCGAAAATAGTTTCGCCTCGATTCTCGGACGACTTAGTTCGTTTCAGTGTTCAACCGTTCGTTCGACGAAGAAAGAATTTAGGACTGATCGGTATTGAAGCCGGAGATCGTTGAACCGTACGTGCACGAAGCCTCGTTCGAGATATCCGATGTGTTACACATCTTGCACGCTGGTGCTCGTCCGCGGTGCGTGTTAACTATTGTTTCGAAAATGCCGCGTCTTTTTCTTTTTTTTTTTTTTATCGCGCGCGGTGAACCGTGCAAACTATTTACGCACAAGCGCTACGACTACGAAAAAGAGTTTAATTACGGATGTTAACGAATTCGTGCATATAGTTTATCGTGCTACGCTCTAATTGTCATTAGAAATCCTGGGCCGGCCCTGTCGAGCGCTGCTTCTGGGAGCAAAGCAATCTCTTCCCCTTTGTCTCTGCCGCGATATACGGAAACGGAAGGACGTTGGTCGCTCTTGGTCTTTCACAGAACCAACGTTCCCTCGAGTATAATCGACGCTTACACAGGCTGGCCTACCGTACTTTCTATTCGATTTGATTTACGATTCCATTGCTGGTTGCAGCACTTATTTTGGGATACCTTTGTATATATGTATAAGCCCAAAACGGTGTCCAGAGGAAGAAGAAACCGCGCGAGTGGCCCCCTCCCACCCTACGGCCGCCATTGAGAAAAGAAGCGCCATCGAGAAACTTTGTACGTGTAAAGTAGTATTACTTTCTAAGTTACAACTCTGTTATATTGTATAATTGTTGATTTAACTGTGCACGATCTATGCGATGTTCGCGGCTGTCACCGCTTGTAAAATGCAGCTGATACCGACCAGCGTATTTTTTTCGAAACACTACGACGGTACATCCGTACATAGCGTAATAGATAATTGATGATAAATGTATAACGTTCAGCTTTGTAAATTCGACACTCGTAATTGGTTGTTAGCGCGTCGGATACAGCATTCGTAGCTTTTTATTGGTAACGGCTCGAGAACTCGTCAAAGAAAACTAAACAATTGCAATTTGTATGTATCGTTAATTATTAGCTACATTGATACTTGCGTACGAATGTATGTGTGTGTATGTGTGTGTCTGAGAATGAGAGAGAGAGCGCGAGAGAAAGAACATGCTCAACTAAGAATCTTCGCTCACTTTCGAAGGAGGGAAAAATATTCCTAAGTTCTTTGCCGTATCTCGATATCATTCGAGCCTTGTTCTTTGTAATCATTACGCCTTTTCGACTTTGCGCCGCGAATTATATGGTGCTGCAAACGTTTTAATTTGTTTTCTTAGTTGTGAATTCCGGCGTGTGTGTTCTGAGCAGACTAGAGAATGTCAGAAACTTTTACGAAGGATGTGGATTGATCGGTACACAGTATTTCGGTTTAAGTATATCTGTAGTGAATAAAGTGATATTAAAGCATTACCACAGACGAGGTATACGAGTAGACCTTTGACCTTATGGACTGTAAGTGGCCCAATCTGGCTGCCATACTGACCTGAAAATTCGGAGGTGATTTTAACGTCCTCTTCTCATGGATGGCGGTCAGTTGAGAAACTCACTGAATTAGTATCGATGGGCAGCAGCTGTAGTGTATGCAATTTTCAAACTACCATAACACCAACAATAGTGACTATATTTCGATGAAACTTTTTTTTGAAGTAGAGCTCATGAAGAAAGTATTAGACAACTTTTCTATAGAGCGTCAGAGGTTTTTACACGAGGCATCTCTATTCCTTTTCGAATAACAAGCTTCGTGAGACACCGCCCCTTCCCCTACCTCGCTTCCATCTAACAATAGAGTACTCGGTAATTTAGATTACTTATACATGGTTTACAATTAACGCCAAAGGTCCGAACTTGTCTAGAAACAGTCCTATCCTTGTTAGAACACATCGCGTCAAGCATAATACAAATTAACTTGAAACTATATGTGTATCAATCTAATTAATAAACAGTGTCTAAAGCTTATTAGTATTATAATAACTATAGTAGTGTCTACATAAAGTGACTGCATTCTTGTCCACCTAAATATCCGTTTAGTTTGTTCGTGATACTCCCCGTCTATAAATTAAAGAAAGATGTGACCCATCGGTGGTACACGATTTGCACAGCCATCTACGGCAAAACGACCAAGTTTGTCGTCAAATAGTTCGTTATTTTCAACGATAGATGGCGCTTATTTTCGACCTCAAACCCTTTGGTGCTAAAACGCCCAAGTTTGTCGTGGAATAGTTCGTTATATGTACCATTATTAAGTAAATTAAGGTAAACCTACACCGCTGGCCTCTGCTGATCGCTGCTGACCACTCCTCATACTTCTGACAACGTATCACGATTACAACTTGCTACTGCTTGCCCCTGCTGGCCCCTGCTTGCCTCTGCAGGCCTCTGCTGACCCCTGCTCATCCCTGCTGGCCTCTGCTAACCCCTGCTGACCACCGCTTATATTTCTGACAACGCACAACGATTACAACTTGCTACTGCTTGCCCCTGCTGGTCCCTGCTTGCCTCTGCTGGCCCCTGCTTGCCTCTGCTGGCCCCTGCTGACCGCTGCTGACCACTCCTCATACTTCTGACAACGTATAACGATTCCAACTTGCTACTACTTGCCCCTGCTGGTCTCTGCTTGCCTCTGCAAGCCTCTGCTGTCCCCTGCTGACCCCTGCTGACCACTGGTGACCACTGCTGACCCTAGTTAACAACTTCTGCCATGATATATGTGTATTAAAACATTGTATAATGTAAATCTATAGCAATAAATGATATAATTACAAAGAATTCTATGTGTTCTCATCATTTTTTACCTTTCTTTTCCTCTCCAAATCATTACCTTAGTTATAAGACTCCCTGCAACTCCTTGGTTTCCCTGAACCCACTAGGAAGTTCTAAAACACCTCGGAAGTCCTGAAAATCAGAACTTTGCTAAAAATTCAGGGTTTCCAAGAATTTTCGGCGTTTCCAAGAAATTCCAAGACTTCCCAGCTGTTTCAGGACTTTCCAAT